CAGAACCAAATCCCATCGTTCCCCCCACCCAAACGCACTATTCCCACCTCCTGGTTTCCATGGAATGCTGCTTGTGGCTGAGTCAACCAATAAACCCTTTTGCTTGTGGCTTTGTGCTTGGAACATGGGGTTGGGAATGGGAATTGTCTCCTCTGAGGATGGGGCTTGGAGCAACCTGGTTTAGTGGAAGGTGTCCACGTCCCCTTGGTCTTCAAGGGCCATCCCAGCCCATTCCTGGTCATCCCGAACCTTCTCCATGCCACCCATTCCCATGTCCCACCAGCACTGCAGAGCTGCTGGAGTCCTGGAATCTTCCACTTCCCACAGCGATCCCATAGGACTGGGGTGACTTGAGAACATCCTGATGGGAATGGTGATGGGGAATCCAGCAGGAACTCGTTAGAGCAAATTCCAAAGGCATTGGAACAGATCCCAAAGGAATTGGAGTGAATCCCAGTGTAATTACATCAAACCCCAACCCAATTAAATCAAATCCCAAGGGAATTAATCAAACCCCAGTGTCATTGAATCAAACCCAAACCCAATTAAATCAAATCCCAAAGGAATTAATCAAATCCAAATGTCACTGAATCATATCCCAGTGTAATTAGGACATAACCAAAGGAACTGGAGGAGATCCCAAAGGAATTGGAGTGAATCCCAAAGGAGTTGGAGCGAATCCAAGTGTCATGTAATCAAATCCCAAAGCAATTAAATCAAATCCCAAAGCAATTAAGACAAAACCTAAAGGAATTGGATCAAATCCCAAAGCAATTGGATCGGATCCCAGAGGAATTGGAGACGATCTCAAAGCAATTAAATCACAACCCAATTAAATCAAATCCCAAAGGAATTGGAGCAAATCCCAGTGTAATTAGGATGAAACCCAAAGGAATTGGATCTGATCCCAAAGCAATTCCAACTCCCCTAAGTACTTAGAAGAGGATGGAAAAAACCCAAAGGCCCTTCAAATGATCCCAATGGAACATAAAACACATCCCAGAGGAATCTGCCCCCCCAGTAGCAGTTAATAGAAATATTGGAGCAATTAATTGGGATATTATAGGAGTACATAGAAATATCCAAGTATGAATAGAAATATTGGAGCAATTAATAGAAATATCCAAGTATTAATAGAAATATCAGAGCAATTATTTGGAATATTAAAGAAATTAATAGAAATATCCAAGTATTAATAGAAATACCAGAGCAATTATTTGGAATATTAAAGAAATTAATAGAAATATCGGAGCAATTATTTGGAATATTAAAGAGATTAATAGAAATATCAGCAATTAATATAAATCTCAAAGGAATTAATAGAGACATCAAACAGATAATGGAAGTATGGGTGCTGTAGGGTGTCTATGGGTGCTATAGGGTGTCTGTGGGTGCTATGGGTGTCAATGGGTGCCGCTCTCTGGGCCGTGGTGCCCTGGAGCCGCCCGTTCATTTACTCAGCAATTAACGGCGACGGGGAGGGATTGGGGGGGGGGGGGGGGGGGGAGCTCTCTGTGGGGGGGCCCTTTGGGTCGGTTTGGGTCCTTTTGGGGCGGGTCCCTTTTGAGGGGGGGGTCCCTAAAACCTCTGGGTCACTTTGGGGGTCCCTTTGGGTCCCCTGTGAGGGCAATGGAGGGGTTCTTTGGGTCCTTTTGGGGGGTAATGGGGGGTCCCCTTTGGGGGGCAATGGAGTGGTCCCTTTGGATACCTTTTGGGGGACAATGTGGGGTCCCATTGTCGACAATGAAGGGGTCCTTTGGGTCCCTTTTGGTTCCTTTGGGAGCAATGGGGGGTCCCCTTGAGTCCCTTTTAGGGGAGGTCCCTTGAGGGGCAATGGGGGGCCCCTTTTAGGGGTAATGGGGAATCCCTTTAGGTCCATTTTTGTGGCATTGGGGGGTCCCTTTGGATCTATTTAGGGGGGTCCCTTTATGGGGCAATGGGGGGGTCCTTTCGGGTCCCTTTATGGGGCAATGGGGGGTCCTTTCAGGTCCCTTTAAGGAGCAATGGGGGGGTCCCTTTGGGTCCCTTTTTGGAAGCAATGGGGGGGGTCTTTTGGGGGACATCCTTTTAGGTCCCTGTGGGTGCCTTTTGGGGGCAACGGAGGGTCCCTTTATGTCCCATTGTGGGGGGTCCCTTTTGGTCCCTTTCAGGGTGCCTATGGGTGAGGCAATGCCAGGAGGCTCCTTGGGTACATTTGGGGTGTGTCGTTCCCCCCCCCCCCTTGCCTGGTCCCTGTGTGCTCTGTGGGGCCCAACCCAACCTCTCCCCCCCCCACCCCAATCACTCCATTGTTCTGGAAAACAAAAGGCTCCGGCTCAATTATCCCGAGCAGGGGAGCGGAGGGACCGGAGGGACAGGACAGGGAATGGGGGTGGGAATGGGGGAGGGATGGGGGATGGAGAGAAGGATGGGGGGAGATAAGGATGGGGGGAAGGTGGATGGAGGTAAGGATGGATGAAGATGAAGATGAAGAAGATGAAGGTGGTTGGGTGAAGATAAGGATGGATGAATGGAGGGATGGAGATAAGGATGGATGGTGATGGATGGATGGATGGATGGATGGATGGATGGATGGATGGAGATAAGGATGGATGATGATGGATGGATGGATGGATGGAGATGAAGATGGATGGAGATAAGGTTGATGGAGATAAGGATGAATGATGGATGGATGGATGGATGGATGGATGGATGGATGGATGGATGGAGAACAAGGATGATAGACACAAGGATGGATGGAGATAAGGATGGATGATGGATGGATGGATGGATAGATGGAGAATAAGGATGATAGACACAAGGATGGATGGAGATAAGGATGGATGATGGATGGATGGATGGATGGATGGATGGATGGATGGAGAATAAGGATGATAGACACAAGGAGGGATGGAGATAAGGATGGATGATGGATGGATGACGAATGGAGGTAAGGATGGATCATGGATGGATGAAGATAAGGATGAATGGGGACAAGGATGGATGGATGGATCATGATGATGACGATGGATGATGATGGTACTGGACCAAGACACCCCCCCCCCCCCCCCCGCCACCCTCCTGGCGCCAGCCTGGCCCCAGCAGCTCCAGCCCCAGATCTTATCTCTGCCTGGGGGGGAGGCTCCACCTCCAGCCCAGTGACCAATGGGGTAGCACTGGGGAGGCAGAGCCAGCACCCCATTGGTTGATGCCACCCCATTGGGGCCCTACAAAAACACGGAGCTCCTGCAAGGACCCACAGCTCCGTGGCCCTGGAGTGGTGAGTTCTGGCTCTATGGGGTGCTATGGGGGTCTATGGGGGGGGGTCTGTGGGTGTCCATGGGGGTCTATGGGGCAAGGTGGGTCCTGGACATCTAGAGCTCATTTTCACACTGGGGATGTCTATGGGGTTCTATGAGGACCATGGGGGTCTGTGGGGTGTCTATGGGCTGTCTAGGGGGTGTCCAGGGGGGTTCTATGGAGTCTATGGGTCCTGGATCCCATTGCCATACTGGGGGGTCTATGGGCTGTCTATGGGGTCTATGGGCTATCTGAGGGGTGTCCATGGGAGTCTATGGAGTGTCTATGGGCATTCTACAGGGTCTATGGGACCTATGTGGTCTATGGAGCAGGATGGGTCCCATTTCCATCCTGGGGTGTCTATGGGAGGTCTACTGGTGTCTATGGGGTTCTATGGGGTCTCACCATCCTCTCTCCAACCTGTGGGGCAGATGGGGCCTCCTCGGACCTTCCTCCTCTGGGCTTGGCTCCTGCTCCACTGTGGTGAGTCCCATTTGGCCAAAATCCCTCTTTTTCTCCTCAGATTGACTCCCTTCACCCCAAATTTTCCTTTTCCACGCCAATTCTGACCTTTCCTGCCCCAAATCTGCCTTTCCCACCCCAAATCTGCCTTTCCCACCCCAAATCTGTCTTTCCCACTCCAAATTTGGCCTTTTTCCACCCCATATTTGCCTTTTCCACCCCGAGTTGGTCCTTTTCCCCCCAAATCTTCCTTTTCCACTCCAAATCTACCTTTTCTGCCCCAAATCTACCTTTTCTGACCCAAATTTGGCCATTTCCACTCCAGATTTGGACTTTTCCACCCCAAATTTGTTTTTTCCCCCTCCAAAATCCGTCTTTTCCACCTCTCCTTTTCCTTCTCCAAGCCCCAAATTGGTTGTTTTCCACCGCAAATCCCCTTTTGAATGAGGAACCCCAAGGTCTCAACCCCTATACAAGCCCTTGGAGAATCCCTGTCCCTTCCATCCTCCCATGGGCATGGACCTAAGGGAGGGAAGAGCTTCACTGGCTGGAAGGAGACCAAATCCAGTTGGGAACTGGCCACCAGAAGAAACTGTCCCAGGCTGCGGTGGCTTCTCTGGTGTCTCATAAAGGGTTGAGCTGCTGCTCATGGCGCTCCTTGGTGTCATTCCAGGGGCAGATCCAGATCCATCCATCCCAAGCGGATCCAAGCTCTGCCTCGGGGTGCGATGTGGACCTGGGAGAACTTGCAAAGTGATGGAGAATGGGCCCAAGTGCGTCCCGTTGGCCTCATGCAAGGACATCCATTGTGGAGAAGGGACCCAATGCAAGATGGTCAATGGGTGGCCCAAGTGTGTCCCACTTCCATCATGCAAGGACATCCAATGTGGAGCAGGGACTCAATGCAAGATGGTTGAAGGGTCTCCAAAGTGTGTCCCATTGCCTTCATGCCTCAACTTCCAGTGTGGAGAAGGAACCCAATGCAAGATGGTCAATGGGTGGCCCAAGTGTGTCCCATTGCCCTCATGCAAGGACATCCAATGTGGAGCAGGGACTCAATGCAAGATGGTTGAAGGGTCTCCAAAGTGTGTCCCGTTGCCTTCATGCCTCAACTTCCAGTGTGGAGAAGGAACCCAATGCAAGATGGTCAATGGGTGGCCCAAGTGTGTCCCACTTCCATCATGCCAGAACACCCATTGCGGAGCAGGGACTCAATGCAAGATGGTTGAAGGGTCTCCAAAGTGTGTCCCATTGCCTTCATGCCTCAACTTCCATTGCAAGACAGGAACACAATGCAAGATGGTCAATGGGTGGCCCAAGTGTGTCCCATTGCCCTCATGCAAGGACATCCGGTGTGGAGCAGGGACTCAATGCAAGATGGTGGAAGGGTCTCCAAAGTGTGTCCATTGCCTTCATGCAAGGACATCCATTGTGGAGAAGGGACCCAATGCAAGATGGTCAATGGGTGGCCCAAGTGTGTCCCATTGCCTTCATGCAAGGACATCAAGTGTGGAGCAGGGACTCAATGCAAAATGGTTGAAGGGTCTCCAAAGTGTGTCCCATTGCCCTCATGCCTCAACTTCCAGTGTGGAGAAGGGACCCAATGCAAGATGGTCAATGGGTGGCCCAAGTGTGTCCCATTGCCTTCATGCAAGGACATTCATTGTGGAGCAGGGACCCAATGCAAGATGGTTGAAGGGTCTCCAAAGTGTGTCCCGTTGCCTTCATGCCTCAACTTCCATTGCAAGACAGGAACACAATGCAAGACGGTCAATGGGTGGCCCAAGTGTGTCCCATTGCCCTCATGCAAGGACATCCATTGTGGGGCAGGAACTCAATGCAAGATGGTTGAAGGGTCTCCAAAGTGTGTCCCATTGCCTTCATGCAAGGACATCCATTGTGGAGAAGGGACCCAATGCAAGATGGTCAATGGGTGGCCCAAGTGTGTCCCATTGCCTTCATGCAAGGACATTCATTGTGGGGCAGGAACCCAATGCAAGATGGTGGAAGGGTCTCCAAAGTGTGTCCCATTGCCCTCATGCCTCAACTTCCATTGTGGAGAAGGGACCCAATGCAAGATGGTCAATGGGTGGCCCAAGTGTCTTCCAGTCCCATCATGCCAGAACACCCGTTGTGGGGCAGGAACCCAATGCAAGATGGTTGAAGGGTCTCCAAAGTGTGTCCCATTGCCCTCATGCAAGGACATCCATTGTGGAGAAGGGACCCAATGCAAGATGGTCAATGGGTGGCCCAAGTGTGTCCCCAAGCCCTCGTGCCACAACTTCCAATGCAAGGGAAGGTCCCGGTGCCACATGGTGGCCGGGAGACCCAAGTGTCTCCCCACCCCTTCGTGCCGCCTCTTCCAGTGCGATGAAGGCATGAGGTGCAAGATGGTTGGGGGTTGGCCCAAGTGCGTCCACCTCGCCCCATCCTGCCACCTCATTCGCTGTGCCAAGGGCACCCAATGCAAGATGGTCAATGGGTGGCCCAAGTGCGTGCGGAAGCAGCTCTTCCTAAGGGAAGCTCCGTCCCCTCCAGGTCTCCAGAGGTCACCTTCGTGCCACCAGCACCCTTGTCCCCAAGGGACCACATGTAAGGTGCTTGATGGTTGGCCCCGGTGTGTCCAAGATAAGACGTCCTTGAGGAGACCTTCTTGTGGTGACATCCAATGCCCTAAAGGGACCACCTGCAAGATGACCAATGGGTGGCCTCACTGTGTCCAAGCCCAACCCACCTGCCGGGACATCCAGTGCCAGCCAGGAGCCAGGTGCCATGCCGTCAACGGTTGGCCACGGTGCGTCCCAACCAAGGCATCCCCAAGCCAACTGTGCCGAGATGTCCGATGTCCCAAAGGCACCTCCTGCAAGGTGATGGAGAACCAACCACGCTGCGTCCAGCACCCTCCTTCCTGCGATGACATCCAGTGCCAGCAAGGAACCGTGTGCCACATGGTGGATGGGTGGCCTTGGTGTGGCCCAATGAAGATCTCCCACCCCTCCGTGCTCCTCAAGCCACCGTCATGCCAAGAGGTCCATTGCCAGAAGGGGACCGTGTGCAAGATGCTGGATGGGTGGCCCAAGTGTGTTGGTCCCCTGCCCTCATGCGGGGACATCCAGTGTCCCAAGGGCACCATGTGCCAGATGGTTGGGTCTTGGCCTAAGTGCGTCCATAACCCCCCTTCCTGCAGCAGCTTCTGGTGCCCCAAAGGGACCTCATGCTCCATGGAGCGTGGTTGGCCTCGATGTGTGCAGAAAGGCCTGGTCCATCACCAGGGAGCTCCTCCAGCTTGGCTTGGGCCAAGGAAGACTTCCAATGCACGTCCCATCCCAAAGCAAGCACCAAAGATGAGGCCAACTTGTGCTGAGGTGAGATGTCACCATGGGACCACGTGTAAGATGCTGGATGGTCAACCTCAATGTGTCCATCAGCAACCAACCTGCAGCAACATCCAGTGCCAGAAGGGGACCATGTGCCAGATCATTGATGGTTGGCCAAGATGCATCCAAGACAAGACCTCCATTAGGAGACCTTCATGCAGCGACCTCCAATGCCCCCATGGAACCACCTGCAACATGGTCAATGGCCAACCCCAGTGTGTCCAGACCAAGGTACCCCCAAGGCCACCTTCCTGCCATGACCTCCAGTGTCCCCAAGGGACCACGTGTAAGATGCTGGATGGTCAACCTCGCTGTGTCCATCAGCAACCAACCTGCAGTGACATCCAGTGTCAGAAGGGAACCTCCTGCCAGATCCTTGATGGTTGGCCAAGATGTATCCAAGCCAAGACCTCCATAAGGAGACCTTCATGCAGCGACCTCCAGTGTCCCAAAGGGACCACCTGCAACACGGTCAATGGGTGGCCTCAATGTGTCCATCACCAACCTTCATGCAGTGATGTCCACTGTCAAAAGGGTGCCACCTGCAACATGGTCAATGGCCAACCCCAATGTGTCCAATCCAAGATCTCCATTAGTAGACCTTCCTGCAGTGACCTCCAGTGTCCAAAGGGAACAACGTGTAGCATGGTCAATGGTTGGCCCCAATGTGTCCATCACCAACCTTCATGCAGTGATGTCCACTGTCAAAAGGGTGCCACCTGCAACATGGTCAATGGCCAACCCCAATGTGTTCAATCCAAGATCTCCATTAAGAGACCTTCCTGCAGTGACCTCCAGTGTCCAAAGGGAACAACGTGTAACATGATCAATGGGTGGCCTCAATGTGTCCATCACCAACCTTCATGCCAAGACATCCAATGCCAGAAGGGGACCATGTGCCAGATCATTGATGGTTGGCCAAGATGCATCCAAGACAAGACCTCCATAAGGAGACCTTCATGCAATGACCTCCAATGTCCCAAAGACACCACCTGCCACATGGTCAATGGCCAACCCCAGTGTGTCCAGACCAAGGTACCCCCAAGGCCACCTTCCTGCCATGACCTCCAGTGTCCCCAAGGGACCACGTGTAAGATGCTGGATGGTCAACCTCGCTGTGTCCATCAGCAACCAACCTGCAGTGACATCCAGTGTCAGAAGGGAACCTCCTGCCAGATCCTTGATGGTTGGCCAAGATGTATCCAAGCCAAGACCTCCATAAGGAGACCTTCATGCAGCGACCTCCAGTGTCCCAAAGGGACCACCTGCAACATGGTCAGTGGGTGGCCTCAATGTGTCCATCACCAACCTTCATGCACTGATGTCCAATGCCAGAAGGGGGCCTCCTGTCAGATGGTTGATGGTTGGCCAAGGTGCATCCAAGCCAAGACCTCCATTAGTAGACCTACTTGCAGTCACATCCAATGTCCCAAAGGGAGCACCTGCAACATGGTCAATGGTTGGCCTCAATGTGTCCATCACCAACCATCATGCCAGGACATTCAATGCCAAAAGGAGACCATGTGCCAGATGGTTGATGGTTGGCCAAGGTGCATCCAATCCAAGACCTCCATAAGGAGACCTTCATGCAGTGACCTCCAATGTCCCAAAGACACCACCTGCAACATGGTCGATGGCCAACCCCAGTGTGTCCACACCCCCCCCTCATGCCATGATGTCCAATGCCAGAAGGGGACCTCCTGCCAAATGGTTGATGGTTGGCCAAGATGCATCCAAGACAAGACCTCCATAAGGAGACCTTCATGCAATGATCTCCACTGTCCCCATGGAACCACCTGCAACATGGTCAATGGCCGACCCCAGTGTGTCCAGACCAAGGTACCCCCAAGGCCACCTTCCTGCCATGACCTCCAGTGTCCCCAAGGGACCACGTGTAAGACGCTGGACGGTCAACCTCGCTGTGTCCATCAGCAACCAACCTGCAGTGACATCCAGTGTCAGAAGGGAACTTCCTGCCAGATCCTTGATGGTTGGCCAAGATGTATCCAAGCCAAGACCTCCATAAGGAGACCTTCATGCAGCGACCTCCAGTGTCCCAAAGGGACCACCTGCAACATGGTCAATGGGTGGCCTCAATGTGTCCATCACCAACCTTCATGCAGTGATGTCCAGTGTCAAAAGGGTGCCACCTGCAACATGGTCAATGGCCAACCACAATGCGTCCAATCCAAGATCTCCATTAGTAGACCTTCCTGCAGTGACCTCCAGTGTCCAAAGGGAACAACGTGTAACATGGTCAATGGGTGGCCTCAATGTGTCCATCACCAACCTTCATGCCAAGACATCCAGTGCCAGAAGGGGACCTCCTGCCAGATGGTTGATGGTTGGCCAAGATGCATCTCAGCCAAGACCTCCATAAGGAGACCTTCATGCAATGACCTCCAATGTCCCAAAGGAACCACCTGCACCATGCTCAATGGCCGACCCCAGTGTGTCCAGTCCAAGTTCTCCATTATCAGACCTTCATGCAGCGACCTCCACTGTCCCCGTGGAACCACCTGCAACATGGTCAATGGCCAACCCCAGTGTGTCCACAACCAACCAACCTGCAGTGACATCCATTGCCAGAAGGGAACCTCCTGCAACATGGTCAATGGGTGGCCAAGATGTGTCCAAACTAAGACTTCCATAAGGAGACCTTCATGCAATGACCTCCAGTGTCCCAAAGGGACCACCTGCAACATGGTCAATGGGTGGCCCCAATGTCTCCATCACAGGCCTTCATGCAGTGATGTCCAGTGTGGGAAAGGAACCTCCTGCCAGATGGTTGATGGTTGGCCAAGATGCATCCAAGCCAAGACCTCCATAAGGAGACTTTCATGCAGCCACATCCAATGTCCCACGGGCACCACCTGCAACATGGTCAATGGCCAACCCCAATGTGTCCACAACCCACCCTCCTGCCAGGATATCCAATGCCAGAAGGGGACCATGTGCCAGTTGGTTGATGGTTGGCCAAGATGCATCCAAGCCAAGACCTCCATTATGAGACCTTCTTGCAGCCACATCCAATGTCCCAAAGGGAGCACATGTAACATGGTCAATGGGTGGCCTCAATGTGTCCATCACCAACCTTCATGCCAGGATACCCAATGCCAGAAGGGAACCTCCTGTCAGATGGTCGACGGTTGGCCAAGATGCACCCAAGTCAAGACCTCCATAAGGAGACCTTCATGCAGTGACCTCCAATGTCCTAAGGGAACAACATGTAACATGGTCAATGGGGGGCCTCAATGTGTCCATCACCAACCTTCATGCCAGGATACCCAATGCCAGAAGGAAACCTCCTGTCAGATGGTCGACGGTTGGCCAAGATGCACCCAAGTCAAGACCTCCATAAGGAGACCTTCATGCAGTGACCTCCAATGTCCTAAGGGAACAACATGTAACATGGTCAATGGGTGGCCTCAATGTGTCCATCACCAACCTTCCTGCCAGGACATCCAATGTGGGAAAGGAACCTCCTGCCAGATGGTCAATGGGTGGCCAAGATGCATCCAAACCAAGACCTCCATTATGAGACCTACTTGCAGCCACATCCAATGTCCCAAAGGGACCACATGTAGCATGGTCAATGGGTGGCCTCAATGTGTCCATCACCAACCTTCATGCAGTGATGTCCAGTGTGGGAAAGGAACCTCCTGCCAGATGGTTGATGGTTGGCCAAGATGCATCCAAGCCAAACCCTCTGTAAGGAGACCTTCATGCAGTGACCTTCAGTGTCCCCATGGAACCATCTGCAACATGGTCAATGGCCAACCCCAATGTGTCCAACCCAAGACCTCCATAATGAGACCTTCATGCAGTGACCTCCAATGTCCCAAAGGGACCACCTGCAACATGGTCAGTGGGTGGCCTCAATGTGTCCATCACCAACCTTCATGCAGTGACGTCCAATGCCAGAAGGGGACCTCCTGCCAAATGGTTGATGGTTGGCCAAGGTGCATCCAAACCAAGGCCTCCATAAGGAGACCTTCCTGCCTTGACCTCCAATGTCCCATGGGGACCACCTGTAAAATGACCAATGGTTGGCCTCAATGTGTCCACCACCAACCCTCGTGCAGCGACACCCAATGTCCCCTGGGTGCCACCTGCACCGTGGTCAATGGGTGGCCCCGCTGCCTTCCCACCCACCCCCTCCTCACCTCCATGTCCTGGGGCCACCATAAACCGAGCCCCCCCTTGACCCCCAGCTTCTCCTCCCCCCCCATGTCCTGCATTGGCATCCACTGCGTCTCCCTCCCCATGTCCTGCCACCATGTCCCCTGTCCTCCTCCCACCGCCTGCGTGCTGCTCCATGGTCACCCTGCGTGCGTGACCCGTCCCTCCTGCCACCACCTCCAGTGCGCGGTGGGCATGGGCTGCAAGGTCCTCAACGGGTGGCCCCGCTGCGTCCGCGTCCCCTCTTGCCACGACCTTCGTTGTCCAGTCGAGACCACGTGCAGGCTGGTGGCAGGGTGGCCCAAGTGCATCCGGATGACCCGGAGCATCCCCATGGCCTCCTGCTCCAGCATCTCCTGCCCACCGGGCTCTGTGTGCCACCCGGGGGAGGACAGCCCCCGTTGCGTGCCCTCCAAAGCCACCTGCTCCACCTTGAGGTGCTCCGAGGGTTCCACGTGCCACGTGGTGGATGGGCAGCCCCAATGCCGGCCCGCGTGCTCCTCCGTGCGCTGCCCCACCGGTACCTCCTGCCATGAGGAAGGCGGGTGGCCAACGTGCGTCCCCATCAAGCCATCGTGTGCCACCGTCCGCTGCCCACCGGGGACCTCCTGTGACCTGGTGGAGGACTGGCTGACGTGCGTCCCCACCAAGCCCAGCTGCTCCCAGGTGCAGTGCCCGCCGGGGACGGGGTGTCAGATGGTGCAAGAGCGCCCCACGTGCGTCCCCACCAAGCCCACGTGCTCCCAGGTGCAGTGCCCGCCGGGAACCGCGTGCCGAGGGGTGGAAGGGTGGCCCAAATGCGTCCTCAAGAAGCCGTCGTGCCATGATGTCCGTTGTCCCCATGGAAGCACGTGCAGGGTGGTGGGAAGCACCCCCAGGTGCATCCATGTGCCACAACCCCCCCTTGTTTGCCACATCTTGGGCCGGTGGCGCTACCGGGCCTTTGATGGGAAGACCCATGGCTTGAGCCCGGCTTGCACCCAAGCCTTGGTGAGCACCTGCAGCACCCAATTGCCCTCCCTCGAGGTCACCGCTGGAGGCCAAGTGGGGAGAGGACCAGGAGCCACCTTCAACCACGTCAGCATCCGTGGGGATGGATTTGAGGTGGTTCTGCTCCGTGGAGAGGAGACCGTGGCCAGGGTGAGGACGTGGTGGTGGTGAGGATAGGTGGTGGTGAGGATGGGTGATGATGACGGTGATGGGTGATGGTGATGATGATGGTGATGATGATGACGATGATGGATGATGACGATGATGACAATTATGATGACAATTATGATGATGATGATGATGACAAAGATGGATGATGATGACAATTATGATGATGATGATGATGACAAAGATGGATGATGATGACAATGATGGATAATGATGATGACGATAATGATGGATGATGATGATAACGATGATGACGATGATAACAATGATGATGACGCTGCTGCTGCTGATGACAATGATGATGATAATGATGGATGATGATGATGATAACAATGATGATGATGATAATGATGATGATGATGCCATCTCCATCCCATCCCAAAGCTCTCCCTTCCCACAGGTATCCGGGCACCCATCCCGCCTGCCCCTGGTGCTGGCGGGAGGCCGGGTGCGTGTGGAGCGCCGTGGGGGCCAGCGCAGGGTGACCACGTCCATGGGAGTGCGGGTGGCCATGGGGGGGGACGGCGCCGTGACCGTGACGGCCCCAATGGGGCTCAGGGGGCAGCTCTGTGGAGTCTGCAGCCAGGACAAGGACAAGGAGGGAGAGGAGAGGACGTGCGGTGAGTGGGGTGGTGGGGATGGGTGAGGGATGGATGGGGATGGTGGATGATGATGATGATGGTGGATGATGATGATGATGGTGGATGATGGTGGATGATGGATGATGATGATGGATGATGATGATGATGGATGATGATTATGGATGATGATGGATGATGACCATTACCTGCCTGCACCACCATCATCACTAACCCCTTTCTCCTCTCCCCCCCCCTCCCAGTTCCCCCCTGCATCCCCAAATACCCCCAGGAGCCTTGTCCCCCCCAACCCCTTCCATTGCCCACCTCCAGCCCCACCTCCACCTCCAGCCCCACCACCTCCACTTGCTCCGTGCTGGGCATGGGGCACCTCCGCACCTTCGACCGCCTCCATCACCACTTCCCCATCTCCTGCGGCCACCTCTTGACCGGGATCTGCTCTGGGCCCGGATCCTTCCGTGTCCTGCTCCGGGGCGGCCCCGGTGGCCTCCATGGGGTGGACATCCTGGTGGGACGCACGCGTGTGGGGCTGGAGCCCGGCTTGGTCACGGTGAGCAGCTACAGTGGGGAGTAGGGTGGTGTGAGGGATGGGGGGGAGAAGGTGGAGTGAGGCCTTGAGGGACCACCTTGGGACCCCCTGTTCCATCCCATTTCCACCCCATTCCCCCCTACTTTCCCCCATCTCCCCTCATTCCCACCCCTTTTCCCCCTCATTCCCACCCCATTTCCTTCCATTCCCCCAATAACACCCATTTCCCCCTATTTCCTCCCCATTCCCGCCCCATTCCCACCCCATTCCAGGTCGACGGCATCCCCATCCGCCTGCCCTACACCTCCCCTACCTCGGGGCTCACCCTGGAGCGCCGGGGCTGGGAGGTGACCATGGGCACCCGCCATGGGGTGGCATTGACCTTCGATGGCCACCACCGCTGGGTGAGCATCACGGCCCCAGCACCACTTGGGGGGCACCTCTGCGGCCTCTGTGGGGACATGGACGGGGACCCCCGCAACGATGTGGGGCAGGAGGACAAGTGGAAGGTGGGAAGTGAGCAACGGGAATGCCGGGATGCGATGGGATGCGGGAAGAAGGAGGAGGAGGAGGAGGAGGAGTGCCGGGTGATGGTGAGGAAGGAAGGACCATTCCAGCGCTGCCACGGCCTCGTCCATCCCGGCACCTACTACCGGGACTGTGTGGCCGACGGGTGCCATCCGGGTGGGACGTGCCGGGTGCTGGCTGCCTACGCCGCGGCCTGTCGGAGCGCTGGGATCACGGCCCTGCAATGGCGAGGGAAGGATTTGTGCCGTGAGTGATGCCCATGGAAAGGGGTGGAAGGGGGGGAGATGGAGCCGTGGGAGCCATAGAGAGCCCAGGGAGCAAGGTTATTGGGGGGGTGGGCAAGGTGGACCCATAGAGCATCCATAGGACCCATAGAGTATCCATAGGACCAAGGCGGAGTTGGGAGGAAGAAGATGGACCCATAGAGCATCCATAGGACCCATAGAGTATCCATAGGACTAAGGTGGGATAGGGTTGGGAAGGAACAATGTGGACCCATAGAGCATCCGTAGGACCCATAGAGTACCCATAGGACCCATAGGCTGTCCATAGGACCAAGGTGGGATGGGGAGGGAGAAGATGGACCCATAGAATACCCATAGGACCAACGTGGGATGGGAAGGGACAACATGGACCCATAGAGCATCCATAGGATCCCATAGAGCATCCATAGGACGCATAGAGTACCCATAGACTGTCCATAAGACCAAGGTGGGATGGGGAGGGAGAAGGTGGACCCATAGAGCATCCAAAGGGGGATCTATAGAGCACCCAAAGGTGACCCCAACCCCACCACCCTCTCCTCTCCCCCCAGCACCCAAGTGCCCCACGGGCACACATTACTCCTCCTGCGTCCCCGGCTGCGTGTCCCCCCTGGAGGCCAGGAGCACCCCTGGGTGCTCCGTGGGGCCAAAAGCGCCTGCGTCGGGTGCCGTGGGGAGCTGCCGCGCCGTGGGGCAGCGCCACTTCGTGACCTTCGATGGGGCGGCCGTGGCCGTCAGGGACAACTGCTCCTACGTGGTGGCCCGGAGCTGTGGGCACCAGAAGGCCCAAGGTGGCTTCGATGTCAGCATCAGGGACCCCACGGAAGGAGGCAGGAGCGTGGTGGTCACCATGGAGAAGAGGAGATGGGTGATGAGGGCAGGGAAGAGCCGGGAGGTGGAGGTGAGGAGGGGATGGGGATGGATGGGGATGGATGGAGGTGGAGGTGGATGGAGGTGGATGGAGATGATGGATGGGTATGGAGAGGGATGGAGATGATGGATAGGGATGGATGGAGATGGATGGGGATGGATGGGGATGGAGATGATGGATGGGGATGGAGATGAATGAAGATGATGGATGGGGATGGATGGAGATGGATGGAGATGGAGATGATGGATGGGGATGGAGATGAATGAAGATGATGGATGGGGATGGATGGAGATGGATGGGGATGAAGATGATGGAGGTGGATGGGGATGGAGATGAATGAAGATGATGGATGGGGATGGATGGAGATGGATGGGGATGAAGATGATGGAGGTGGATGGGGATGGAGATGAATGAAGATGATGGATGGGGATGGATGGGGATGGATGGGGATGGAGATGCTGGATGGGGATGAATGGGAGTGAAGATGGGTGAATATGGATGGGGATGGGTGTGGATGATTGATGGGGATGGATGGCAATGCGGATGGATGGAGGGGGATGGGGATGGAGAAGGATGGGGAGGGATGAGCAGGACATGACCCCCTTGTCCCCATTGCCCCCCCAGCTGGACGGAATCCCTCTCCCTCTGCCCTTCTGCCTCGAGGACCGCTCCACCTGCGTGTCCCTGTCCCACCAGCACAGCACCACCTCCGTGGTCCTCAGCACCACCTTCGGCCTCACCGTCACCGCCGGCCCCGGCCACTCCGTGGCCGTCACCTTGGCCTCCCACCACCGCAACCTCACCTGCGGCCTCTGCGGCAACTTCGACGGCCACCCCTCCAACGACCACCTCGTGGCCACCGGCACCGGGTGCCACCGGCCCTGCCCGGGCCCTGCGTGTCCCCCCTGCCACCAGGCCCCCAAAAGAGCCTTTGTCCATGGGGAGCTCTGCGGCGTCCTCCGTGCTCCGCGGGGCCCCTTTGGGAGCTGCCACCCCATGGTCAACCCCGGGGTCTTCTTCGACGTGTGCCTATGGGAGCTCTGTGAGGCTCCTGGGGCCAAGG